TAGCAAATTCTTCTCAATTATTTTAAGACCCTGAGTGTTGGTCCGGCCGGGACTCGAACCCTCGACCTCCCGCACAACAGTCCAGCGCTCTATCCATTGAGCTAACCGGGAGGCGCTTTATTATTTTATAAAAAAAAAAAAGCCCACTTTTAGGTGTGATGTATCTTCAACGACGTTCAAATCACGGCATCCTAGACTGTTTGGATCGTTTGAAATGATACTCACGAATGTGCTTCAAAAGTAGCCAGAGAAGGGATCGACTCACCTTAGTGTTCCCTTGTAAGGTTTTAAATGGCAGCATTTCGCCCGCTTTAGATTTGTACAAGACAATATAACTTGTCACCCACTCAGTAGAATAGTTAACTCCATATCCTTGCGTGGCCAATCCAGTGATGATTTTCTTATTTGTGAGACCAACCTTGATCCAGCAACCTCGTGCGTCTCTAGGATTAGCCCTGTATCCGGGGGGCCACGACTCCAGATTCAGTCGTGCCCGCTGAGGTCCATTTTTGGCGAAGTCATTGTTGAAAGCAGATGATGCAGTTATTTGGTTGTCCTTGATTTTCTTGCTTTCCATTCCCAACGGCTCGAAGCATATTTCTGTAGAAAATTAATTATAACAATGAAGCTCTTAAGCCTGGTATTTTGTAGAGAATGGCAGCCACCATCCTTACGTTGAACGAATTTAATTCCAAAGAAGAAAAAGGACAGGAAATAATCATCTTGGACTACGAGCCTTTCCTTTGAACCCTGATATGGCACTGGATTTTACCAAATGCACCGTTGTATGGGTCTGCAACAGTCCTCGCTGTTATATAGATTGCAGTCATTTATCGCCTTCCCGAATGATATATATTTTTAATTTCCTCAACGCTACAATGTACTTCTTCTGCAACTAGAACTCATTGGAACCTGATCCCTTTGAACTTATCGGATAACTTTTAACAGTTCTTAGTTAATTATATGTTCGGTGTAAGATAGATATTACGTAATAGCTATAGTAGTTCTTACCTTTGCAGACATTAGGCAGTGTGATCGGCAACCAGCAGATAAAGATGCAAATACATAGAATCAGATTACAAACCTCCATTACCTACAAAACGTTTCACATACAAGTTTCAAACTCCAATTTTGATCCAGACCTGTATTCGATGCACGAAGGTTTAAAACGATACGATTAAAATTTAACCGGAATATCGTTTAATAATCAAGATGCCTAACTTTTAAAGGCAGACAATGCAAGCACCAGCGTACTGTATGACAATTAAAACACCAAATCGTAAACGAGAACCTGGTTCCATTACCGTGACTTTATTTGCATAAAAGGCTTTTAAATGCCATTGGCCGGAAAATTGATTTTTTTTAATAAAGATGCCTAACTTTCAAAAGCAGACAATGCAAGCACCAGTACAAGCATACAGCAGGCCAATTAAAACAACAAATCGTAAGCGATACCCTGGTTTGGATAACTTTATTTGCATGAAAATGCTTCATACGTCATTAGCTCTTCCTTGTTTTAATCCTTTGATTACTAGCGGCCTATGAAGAACATTACTTTTGCTTAAGGAGATAATAGGTATTAACCATAGAGCTTACCCTACGTCATAAAATTAATCTGCTGCTTTTGCTTTTTCTGTTTCTTGTCATTACATATTGTTTCGCTCCCTAAACCCCAACGCTGATATAAAAAAAGGCTAATTCATCTGTTGAAACGCTGAGTTATCTGTGAAGGATAGCACGTAATACACGATTTTTATTACAAGCGCAGAAACGTAATTTCGAAGCTTCTGTTATTAGCAGACATCAAACACTTTTAACTGACTAGTACAGAACATTCGCAGAAATATACATATAGTAGTCTTCCATTGACTTTCGAAAAAAAGTGAATATTTTCTGGCTTAGTATATTTAAAAGAGGATGACCATGTGCAATGGTCAGAGCAATGTATACGATCGAAGCAGAAAGGAAATTCAGACACATGTTTAGCGACAAACTCTGAATAGGTTAATCGATTTTAATACATTAATTCATAATGGACAGGTTTTTATTCTATCCCTTGCGCTTGGAGACATCTACGCTCTCAAGTTCTTTACTATCTACCTTTGGCATTTGATAATGGAATTTGATAATGAATGCGTAGTCGCACAAATTGTCAGAAAGTAGATGCGTGATATAAAGCCACAGAGGTTACTTTTAGGTACAACTGTTCCTCATTAACAAGAAGCACGTTTACCATCAATAACTTGATACCTATTCCACGGATTGCAGCAGAAAGTTTCATTAGTTTCAATGTGTAGTATATCAATGCTGTATTTTCACTTTTGTTCCTCATTTGGATTTTTCTTTAGAGGCCAGGAAATTAATTGCGGCAGCTTTTACATTTGTCAGGACTGTTCACTAAGTACTTTTAAGAAGAAAGATACTTTGAAGTCTCAAATTATTAATAGGAAACGGTTCAAGCATATTCACCATTGGAAAATTTACTAATTAATTCTCATTATACCCAGAGAAGTTAACCGCATAAGTTGTTGTGTATAGCATCAACTCCAACACTAGCAGATATAACATACAACAAAAAGGCTCTTCAGTCCTCTGTTTTACTTTTAAGATACATGAGTTGCAAAAACAAGATAAGATAAGACTGACAATTAATTAGTAAATTTTCCAATGGTGAATATGCATGAACCGTTTCCTATTAATAATTTGAGACTTCAAACTATCTTTCTTCCTAAAAGTACTTAGTGAACAGTCATGACAAATGTAAAAGCTGCCGCAATTAATGTCCTGGCCTCTAAAGAAAAATCCAAATGAGGAACCAAAAGTGAAAATACAGCATTGATATACTACAAATTGAAACCAATGAAACTTTCTGCTGCAATCCGTGGAATAGATATCAAGTTATTGATGGTAAACGTGCTTCTTGTTAATAAGGAACAGTTGTACCTAAAAGTAACCACTGTGGTTTATATCACCCATCTACCTTCTGACAATTTGTGCGAGTGCGCATTCATTATCAAATTCCATTATCAACTGCCAAAGGCAGATGGTAAAGAACTTGAGAGCGTAGATGTCTCCAAGCTAAAGGGATGGAATAAAAACCTGTCCATTATGAATAAATGTATTAAAATCGATCATTCAGAGTTTGTCACTAAAATGGCTTCGTAAATGGAGTCTGTACGTTTTAAGAATGGCTGCCTGTAAGGATCGAGAATCGTCCGTCAGCGACCATTTTGGTGAATTGCTCATATTTTCCCAACGATACCCTTTGGTAAA